CCACTAGAGTTGCTGTCAAGAATCATTCTATTATGACTCATAGCGAGAAAAATCTCCGTTTGATGGCATCCTTTAACAATAAATTTAGCAAAGGTAGTAAAATTAAATTTTTACTTATATTAAAATTGTTTAGAATTTCAATGGTATATTTGTGTACAAATATTATTTTGTTAAAAAATTAAATTTGAAAAACTTATAATTTGTATAAAATATTTTATGAAAGTGTTAAATATTTATTTGTTGAAATAATATTTAATGTATTGAATATGATAAAAAATAAAATTATATGAAATTATAATTTTGGATAGCTCCCGGGCTGGTCCTAGTCCATAGGGCTTTTGGCCCGTGCAAGCCTTTATTATTGAGGGCCATTTGTCCTTGCATGTTTTTTGGCCCTAACCATCGCGGGCTAAGACCTAATAGGACAGACTGACTTATTTTGATAGCTCTGATATCATCAGAGGATTCTCTTGGGGATGGATGAAGTGAAGCTGGGTAACCTTGTTTGTTGACTGAGACAAATGCTAGAGGTACCTAAGGCACTTTGGCGCTTAGGTCAATGTTTGATCAATAAGCTAGAGTAAAGAAGAATAAGATGACCATACCGGAATTTCAAACCTCTATTATATAATGGTTGGATGTCTTGCTTACGCTTTAGTATAACGATGGATTGTGGTGGCCTCTTAGTCTATCCTGTGTGCATGATACATATTTGTGGGTTAAAACTTTTAGGCATAGTTGAAATTATGTATTTGTCCATTAGCTATTGGTTGTGAGAGACGTTGTAGGGTTCTAAGTTTTAGATAAATAAAATATTTATAAGTATGTAATCTTATAATTGAAATTTATTTATATTTAAATAATAGAAAAGGATATTGTAACAACTAATTAGTATTACTATCAATGTTACTACCTATCAATTTCACCGTTAGATCAATTATATTGATCCAACGGTTATTTTTATTTCTATCTTTGTATGGTTATAATTTCTCATATTTAATATGAAAGCATAAAATATGAAAAATCATAACCATACAAAGGTAGAAATAAATATAAAGTATTAAATATGAAGAATCATAACTATACAAAGATGAAAATAAATATAACCGTTGGATCAACATAATTAATCTAACGGTGAAATTGATTGGTAATAAAATTGGTTGTAATATTAACTGGTTGTTACAATATCCTTCCCATTAAATAATATATTAAAATATCAAAATGAAGTTATCTGATAAAATATCAGTAGTTTTTTATAAAAAAATTGTAAACTTCGTCTTCTTAACAAGAATTTTCAATTCACGGTTAGATTGATAAGATATTCATAAAAATATTATTAATATGATAAGATTTATTATTGAAATAAATAATTTTTTATCCTTTAAAAATATATATTATTGATCTGGACCTATGTCATTAGGCCCAACTCATAAGTGGCACAAGAGACACAACAACCCAAGTCTTAAACACTAAGAAAACAGGTGATCCATCCCATAGAGGTACAACTACGCTCACAGCAGCTCAAGATCTACAATCACCCTAATAGCTAATAACTATGGGTCAACCATGGGATTCTTGCTACACCAATAGACAAAGCCCACAAATAGGCATTACACACAAGATAGCCTGTAGAAACTATTTCAGCCCACTCATGAAATTAAATGTCGTCATAATAATGCGAACCACCTACTGTATAATAAAGACTTGAAGTCCAAATATGATTTTCTTTTTCTTTTTTTTGGATACAAAGGTATGATTTTCTCACCCATCTTTATTGAAACTCATAGTTTAAACATTGACTTGAGTATCAAACAGTATTGCAAATATCCCCTCATTTGTCCCAGCCAAGCAAGATCATGCAGTTCCAGATTTTTTTTCCTAGAGGAAACTTGTTTTACCATTGGATCAGGTTCAACAATGAGTAACTCATTATTTCTTGAGCTGATCCATTATATATTATACAATAAAATATTAACAAATTTTTAAATTAAATGAAATTTTATAAACTTAATTTACTTAATGAAAAAATTTAATTAATTTACTTAATGAAAAAATTTAATCTAACAATTGAGTCGATAATGTTTAGCATTTATATGGGCAGTTTCACATTTAGAATTATTAATTAGCCAAAATAATAAAAGAGAAAGATTTGGAGTTCTGACATCAAACCTAAAGGTGTATTTGATTGTGTTTTGGTTTTTTTTTTCTTAAAACTTTTTTATAGGATAGTTAATAAAATAAGTGTTTTTTGCATTATTATTTTTTTGAAAATTAAAAGTCAAATCACAAAGTAAAAATAATTGAGATATGTTTTTTAAATTTGATTCTAAAAAAAAAAAATTATAATTTTTAAAATTATTTTTACCAAACAGGTTGTCTTATCAAACAGTTTTTTTTTCTTTCTAAAAATTAAAAAAATTATTTTTAAAAACATAATTCAAGCATGCTCTAAGTTCATGATTTGTTACGCTATGCTGCACATGCTCAGTTTTTACGTAAAAAATGACACTTCCTCAAAAAATAAATTAAAAACACAAAAATTTGATATATGTATAGTTATTAGATTATAATAGCATTTAATGATTAGAATATAGAAAATAAAAATATATTTAAGAATATTAAAATTTTAAGAAAGTAAAAATAGCTCTTCCTATTGGGGTGTTCATCAACCGATCCAAACTTATTCAAACCGCGGTGACCGAACAAACCAAAAACTAAAAAATCGAAAATCGAAAAAAATTCGCAAATTTTAATTGGATTGAATCGGTTTTCAGATTGATAGATAAAAACCGATCCAATCCAAACCGATCTAAATATTAATTTTCCTCTACTTACTTGGGTCTTTCCCCAATCATAGCCCAAAATTTCTAAACTCAATACCCATTAACCCATCAACTAAACCCAAGAAAAAATTTAGTCACATCTCATCAACAAAATTTCATCTATGTAGATCTTCATATCTAATTTTCCAAAAGAAAATATATATATATATATATATATATATATTATCGTTTAATGATACTTTTGCATTTAAAAAAAATTACAAAGCCAATATATACAAAAGATGTTATTTGTGCAATAATCATGAAACAAATTTTAGGATTTTTAAAAAACCGAAAACCGATCCAATCCAAACAGAAAAAAATTAGATCGGATCGGATTTAAAAAAAAATCCAAACCGAATGGATGATTACATGATCCAACCGAAAGGATTGAATTGGATGATTTTTACTTCCAAAACTGATTCAATCCAGACCGCAAACACCTCTAGTTACTATCATCTTTTTTTACTTTGTATGTTCCAAATCTTGGAGTTTTTAATGCTTCCTTCTAGCATGTTTCGATTATAAACTTATATTTTGCACATTTAAAGTCAGAGAATATTGTTCTGGATCTCTAATTATAATTTGAGTGAAAAAATATCTATTATAATTTACAAATTATAGTACTAACACACTTTTCTTGTATCTTACATGTGTTACCAATTATAGTACTAACATACTTTTCTTGTATCTTACATGTGCCTGTATAAATCACTAACATACCGAATGTATAATCTATAAGTCAGAGAAGAGTTATCGAGGTGGGGCATAGCAATTATTAGGCCACGCGACCCTAGACAAAGTAGGGCACCCTGAACTTCAACCTAGACCCAAGTCATTCACTTTTTGTATTATTTTATGGTTTTTCGTTTTGTCCTATAACATGACACAAATTTTTTTTTTACACATACAACATTTTGTGGATTCACATTTTTTAAAGTAAAATAAAAATAAAAATTAAAGTACGCAAAATGAATCATTTTTCCTACAACATAAAAAACTCTTATTTTATTGATACTAATCTAATAATATTTTTTATTACTTCAATCAACATATATTTATCTTATTAAACGGGGGAAAAAAATGTGTTTAAATTAGACGGGAACACTCATACAAATTATATATCTAAATTGTTAATTGCGCTATTAACCCTGTTATTGATTATTGAAGGGACTAAAACACGAGCAGCCTATTATTTAAAGCGTGTCACTTGACCAATGACCATTAATCACCCCATCTAACCCCTTGGAATTATGGGGCAGTGAGCTGCATCCAAATTAAGTGGTTAATGAGAATTAAGAAATGGTTACAGGAACGTGTCCTCGTCTCGGTGTTTAATTCACATGGCTAAGGCTAATGTGTGATTGAAAGTTGAAACAACACTTTATCACTGGCACAACGCTTTCTATCTGCACCGGTTAAGAAAATTTACGAAGCGCTAAGCCTCGCCGTTTCCTAGCCTCAACTGTATTATCAGATAAAGATTTCAAGCATTGAAATTCCCAATGCAATGAAGCCAGCACTTTCACGAGGAATTATTATTGGTTAGCTGAGATTACATTTAAACTTTTACAACTATTAATGAAAAGTCTTTATATTATTTGGAATAAAAGAAAAATAAACGAGAGTGTCACAACTGATTAAATGCTAACACGATACCAATCCCATCCATAAATAAATCAATTGAGAAAATTTTAGTGACTAAAGAAAAAAAAATAAGCAACTTTATTTTCGGCTATATATTAATGGAATAGGATATTGTGAAAACCAAATAATGTTACTACCACATCTTAACCGTTGATTTCCGTCAATCAACGGTTATCATTTATTGTGAATTAATAATTAATTAATAAGTTTGATTTGAAAAATGATAACCGTTGATTGACGAAAATCAACTGTTAAGATGTGGTAATAACATTATTTGGTTGTCACAGTATTTTATTTTATATTAATTTAACAGTTATTTTTCACAATTGAATGACACATAACCATAATTGCATAGGCAAGCTCCTTAATTTGACACTTGCGTTACTTTAAACCAATCTAATTCCACTTATAACAATATTCAAATCAAATTAAAAATAAATAAAAAAATAAGTACAAGAACAAATAAACAGAAAGCCAGCAAGATAAACAACCAGATTTGTTCAGAATAGAGATTATTAAAACATAGAGGAAACGAATCAAATGAAAAGGATTTAAAATTGTTAAAACGAAAAAGCATGTATTTTGCATGTGAATCGATACATACATCATGATTCATGAGGGATGACATATTGACATACAAGTTGCATGCATCGGAAAATGCAGATTTACCAATTTTCTGTCTAATCCAAAAAAAGGAAAGAAAGAAAGAAAAAATAACAGAAAATTCTCTCCCCTTGCACGCTTTGTCTCCAACGGAACAAAACGAGGGAGAGCCAATGGGATCGGTCCACGTGTCCTCAAGGACTCTCCCATTTTGTCTGTTAGATCACAAGTGTAAGAAACGGGCGACCTGGGTGGGGTTAACAACGCCGGGGAGGTGGGTCCCACCACCCTTCAACAAGCCCGCAACTTCCGCGTACCTGTCCCGCTCCTCCTTCTCCTCCGATCTCCGGCACGGCGCCGCCTCTCCTTCCTCGACGACTCCGCCGCCGTCGTCCTCCGTCGGCTTCCCCGCTCGGGGTGGGGCCCATGTCTGGCCCAATAGGGTCCCCCTGGTGAGGTACTCGTGGGCCATGTAACCCGCTAGTAACTGATTGGACGACATCGGCTCCGAGCCGGGCCTCTGGATCGGCTTATCCGGCTTGAGTAATTTCGTGGTGGTTGCAACGGGTATGGGCTTGGGCCTCTCAAACGAGTCTTCTCTCTCTTTACGCTTATTGGTAGTGCCACTAGGTGTCAACACACGTCGAGGTGGGAGACGCATCGTTTTGGTGTTCATGGCTCTCTATCTGCATGCCACGTAACTAAACCACTCTCCAAAATGAATTTTAAAAAAAAAAAAATTTAAAACCTTTTTTTTCAAAAAAAAAAAAATTAGAAAATCCAACAGTAATTATCTAAACCTCGGGGAATGGGTCTTAGGTGAAAAAGTGGAGGGGCAAAATGGTAAATTGAGAAAGTAAAAGCGTAAAATTGTAAATTAACAGACAACACAACGGCGAAGAGGATGTGATAAGAGAGAAGAGGATGAGAGAGAAATTTTCGCCGGAATCTGGCAATTTTTGAAGATTAAAAAAAAAAAAATTTAAAAAGGAAACACGCGAAAGAGAGAGAAAAGAGAAAGAGAGAGAAAGGTTGGGATAAAGAAAACGTAAGAGTGACAAGGGAGAGAGGAGAATGCGCAGCGGGTAAGGGACTTCGATATTTATAGTGGTGGTTCTGCTTAATTACCCTTGTGTTTTCCCCAATATTACTTGAATGCCATGGGAATTTGAAATGACATAATTACAACTCTCTTTTTTTATGTACGGATTTGCCATGGCGTATAAGTTACCACAACGTGGATTGGGATTGCATTAGCATAGCCTTACTAAGTATGGATTTGGCTTGTAATTAGTGATCTAAACCCATTTGGCTAAAATACTATTCAGTCCAATATACATGCAAAAAAATAAAATAAAAAAATCGTGATAAATTGTCTTAAAATATAAGATAATTTCTTTAGCAATTTAAATGCTTATCGAAACATAAATTAACATGTTGTTGGAATGATTAAATATTATAAAAAAAATTAATTAAAGTTTAAAGTATTATCAGTGAAAAAGTACTCACCTTTATTCTATGATATATCAGTGAAATATTTAAAAGTTAGACTTTTTATGTATTCAATTAATAATAATGACAGTCAAACTTTTTAATAATATATAATTCGATAACAGTATGAATAAAATTTATTTTTGTAGTGCATTAAAATTAAATATATATTTTAATATTACAATAACATAAAGTTTTTAAACTTTAATTATTATTTCACTGTTAATGAATGGAAACCAGTCTTCATATCATTGAATATAATTATATTTGATTAGAAATATTATATTTTTAAACTTCCACTTACTTTTGTAATATTGTAATATTTTTAATCTGATTATATAATATTAGAATGATGTTAAGGTTACAATATTTCTTAATCTAACATTATAGGCATGTTACCAAGGCATGACATAATGCGATATGATGACGATTCAATTTAATTCTATATTAGTTAATTATGACATTAAAATTATAAAATTGTTTAAGGGTTTTAACTTAAGTAACACTAAATCTTCATAGAAAATATCTAATTATGGAATCAAATTTTAAACAAATCATTTTACTTATAGCCATTAAAAACAATAATCATGGGAGATTTAAATAATTTGCATGAGTTTGAATTTAGCCTATCATTTCATACTTTTTTGAAAAGCAAACAGGAAACAGAAAAACAAAAAAAGAAACTAGGAACACCTCCTAGACCAAACTACTCCTACATAGTCCCTTTCAAGTTTGTCACGACAACCAGAAGGAGGCGAGTCAAACTCTTGTAAAGACCAATCAAAGGAGTAGGCAAAAGAGGCTATCCAATCGGCAACCCCATTCCCTTCCCTATGAATATGGGAAATTCTAACCCTCCAATTCCAATCCAGCATATTCCTTATGCGCAAGACCAAGTTAGAGGCTGGATGATGAGAGCTGCACCCTTCTCTTATGAAAAACTGGGCTACTAAGGAATCACCTTCAAGCCAGACAAAACGGAAACCTTTCCTCCATGCAATCTCAAGCCCAAGGAGACAACCCCAAAGTTCTGCTAACAAAACATTACCACAGCCAAGATTTTTACAAAAGCCAACAAGCCACCTTCCACTAGCATTCCTAAATACACCCCCACAAGCAGAAGCTTCTCCATTATTCATACTTGACCCATCCACATTGAGCTTAACCCAAGGGTCCGAAGGAAAAACCCAAGAAACTAATTTCTCTTTATTCGAGTTAGTCTCAAGACCAGCAACCCGAAGCGTGTTTTCTGACCAAGAAAAATCTTCACCATAGACCATAGCAGCTCTAAAAGTGCCATAAGCAGGAACAGAAGATCCCTAAAAAATTTTCTTATTCCTAGCTTGCCAAATGAAACAGGAAATGATACCAAACAGAAGAGGCCATGATGGCAAATTGGACCAATTACGATCCTCAGAGATATTAACCTAATTTTTTTTTATGTGGGCATGAAATTAGGCGTGTGAAGTTATGATAGGGATAAGTGCGTAAGTTTTTGGAAAACCTCTTCCGTTCAAATACAAATTTTGAGCTTTTTTACTCTAAAGCGTAATATAATTTTTTTGTTACCACTGCATTCTATTAAATTATGCTAAAGTCCACTAATCAATTAAACCCAATTCCTCCCCATCTATATACATATAAAGGAGAGTTCACTGCTGGAAAGTTTTGTCAAATGTCACTCCCTGGTTAATTCTACAATTTGGTTATATACAAACTTTCTTTATTGGGTAAATTGGAAAAAAAAAAAACTCTTTTAAAAATTGAATTTTAATTTTTAAATCGAATAATAGTTGCAGACAAGGCATTGAATGTCCCACTGCCCATCACATTGGTATTCAAAAAAAATCAGCTGTTTTAATTGCTTTTTATGTTGGAATTCGTCATCTCATATGAAATTCGAAATTTTAAATGGTTTATCAATTAAATTTCGAAATTATGTATTTATTTTGCACAATCTGAAATTCGAAATTTTAAATTCAATAAAAAGAAAACTCTTTTCACGGACATGCATTCACGATCTCTATTCATGGAGATCAATAGAAACAAAAACAAATTTCACAATTGTTGAAGACCTGATCGTCATTCAATTCACAATTTCGTTATGGTTATTTTAAAATATATATATATATACAATAATGATATAACAAAGACATTATCTTTGTTATATAGACATTATCTTTGTTATATATTTGATTCAAATATCATAACAATCAAGAATCAAGAGAGCTGACAGACAAAATAAATTAAATCCCAAAACCAAAACTATCATACCAATATTCTTTTAAAAATTGAATTTTCGAAATTTTAAATGGTTTATTAATTAAATTTCGAAATTATGTATTTATTTTGCACAATCTGAAATTCAAAATTTTAAATTAAATAAAAAGAAAACTCTTTTTACGAACATGCATTCACGATCTCTATTCATGGAGATCAATAGAAACAAAAACAAATTTCACAATTGTTGAAGACCTGATCGTCATTCAATCCGCAATTTCGTTATGGTTATTTTTTTAAAAATATATATACAATAATGATTTAACAAAGACATTATCTTTGTTATATAGACATTATCTTTGTTATATATTTGATTCAAATATCATAACAATCAAGAATCAAGAGAGCAGACAAACAAAATAAATTAAATCCCAAAACCAAAACTATCATATCAGATAAACTATCATACCAATATTCTTTTAAAAATTGAATTTTCGAAATTTTAAATGGTTTATCAATTAAATTTCGAAATTATGTATTTATTTTGCACAATCTGAAATTCGAAATTTTAAATTCAATAAAAAGAAAACTCTTTTCACGGACATGCATTCACGATCTCTATTCATGGAGATCAATAGAAACAAAAACAAATTTCACAATTGTTGAAGACCTGATCGTCATTCAATTCACAATTTCGTTATGGTTATTTAAAAAAAAATATATATATACGATAATGATATAACAAAGATATTATCTTTGTTATATAGACATTATCTTTGTTATATATTTGATTCAAATATCATAACAATCAAGAATCAAGAGAGCTGACAGACAAAATAAATTAAATCTCAAAACCAAAACTATCATATCAGATAAACTATCATACCAATATCCTTTTAAAAATTGAATTTTCGAAATTTTAAATGGTTTATCAATTAAATTTCGAAATTATGTATTTATTTTGCACAATCTGAAATTCGAAATTTTAAATTCAATAAAAAGAAAACTCTATCAGATAAACTATCATACCAATATTCTTTTAAAAATTGAATTTTCGAAATTTTTAAATGGTTTATCAATTAAATTTCGAAATTATGTATTTATTTTGCACAATCTGAAATCCGAAAATTTAAATTCAATAAAAAGAAAACTCTTTTCACGGACATGCATTCACGATCTCTATTCATGGAGATCAATAGAAACAAAAACAAATTTCACAATTGTTGAAGACCTGATCGTCATTCAATTCACAATTTCGTTATGGTTATTTTTAAAAAATTATATACACAATAATGATATAACAAAGACATTATCTTTGTTATATAATTGATTCAAATCTCATAACAATCAAGAATCAAGAGAGCTGACAGACAAAATAAATTAGATAATCAGGTGTTTAAATTGCTTTTTATGTTGGAATTGGTCATCTGATCTAAAATTCGAAATTTGAAATGGTTTAAAATTTTGAATTTAAATATGGATGGTGAGAAAAGAATTTCTTTTAAAAATTGAATTTTAATTTTGTAATTGAATAATTAAATGACTGTTTGTGGTGGTAGACATAAAAGAATAATTAATTAATAAATATGGTTTTGAAATTCGAAATTTTAATTGGATAATCAAGTGTTTTAATTGCTTTTTATGTTGGAATTGGTCGTCTGATCTGAAATTCGAAATTTGAAATGGTTTAATATTTTGAATTTAAATATGGATGGTGGGAAAATAAATTCTTTTAAAAATCGAATTTTAATCTTTAAATCGAATAATTAAATGACCATTTGTGGTGGCAGACAAGACATTGAATGTCTCACTGCCCATCACATTGGTATCCAAAAAGAAATCAGCTGATTTAATTGCTTTTTATGTTGGAATGCGTCATCTGATCTAAAATTCGAAATTTGAAATGGTTTAAAATTTTGAATTTAAAAATGGATGGTGGGAAAATTTTTTTTTTTAAAAATCTAATTTTAATTTTTTAAATCGAATAGTGCATATTCGTGTATAAATAGGTATTTGGAAACGTCTCTATTTCGTTCTTTTCTTTGTCCTCAAAGGATTTGAGCCAATATTACCTGATATACGTTTGGTTATGTATTCCAAGTATGATTTTATTAAGGATCTTAATCCTTCTAAGGAGGAGTGGAGGATTAAGGCTAGAGTTGTTAGAACATGGAAGGTTCTTAATTTTCAGCAAAAAAATTTTGACGACAACGTAGAGATGATTCTGTTAGATGAAAAGGTATTTGTTTATGTTTTGTTTTTGATATTACTGTTGGTTTGCGGTCCATGTTTTTAAAATGTACTAATCTATGCATGTCTTTTGTAGGGTGGAAGGGTCCACGCTGCTATCAAGGGTTCTTTAAATATCCGTAACAAAATTCACGAAGGAGAAGTTTATTTCATAAAAAATTTTGGAGTTGGTTTGAATAGTGGGAGTTTCAGGCCAACTAAGCATGATTATCGTTTGTCCTTCAACTTGAGGACTGATGTAAAATCCACTATTGATTCTGCTATTCCCACCAATGGATTTGATTTTGTAGATTTTGACATTATAGAGAAATAGTCTGATTCCCCTTTTTTAGTAGGTTTGTAGATTTTGAACTGTCCACTAAGTCATGCTTTTGTTGTTTGTGTGACAATATCATCTGTCTAACCATCCTTAATGTGTAGATGTCATCGGTTTAGTTTCTGGAATAGGGGAAGTTCGTGAGCATATTATCTCCGGTAGGAAGACAAAAATGGTTGTCGTGGAGCTTGATAACCTCAGGTATCTATTGGTTATTTGTTATGTGTTATGTTCATTTGATGTAAAATTCTATTTTGTGATTTGTTGCAAAAACTGTGCAAGTAGGGGTCACGTGAAGATAGTTCAGCTTGCTAGAATAAAGGGTTTCAGGGGTGAGTTCACATAAATATTTGATTATGATTTCATAATGGAATGTTTTAGTTTATTTCCCTACTTATGGTTTTGAAATTAATAATAAATTTTAAAGGAAAAATTGGAATAACAAATACAAAGTATACGACGAGGATAATTATCGGCCCCAGTGTACCAGAGATTGTCGACTTCAAAAAAAGGTGCGAGCTGTTGTTATTCCATTATTCTGCTCTTTTCTTTATTATTTATCGCTAATTATTTGTAATGTTGTTGTTTTTTAGGCTTTCGTCTGATGTCATTGATAGCGGTTACACGTTGTCTCAGTTATCAAGTCAGTCCTCATATTCTTTTGAGAATGATTTCCTGAAAGAGACGGAAAGGAAGTGTATCAGTGATGTTAAGAATTGCAGTGAGGTTACTACTTGCATTACTTATGGAACCATAAAATAGTTTGAGAGCAAATATAAATGGTGGTACAAGTCATGTAATAAATGTCCATATTCTGTTTATGAAGATTTCGAGAAATGGTATTGTAAAAACTGCCAAAAACATTTTGATGATTATTATCCAAAGTAAGATTTTATATCTATTTTTGTTGTTGTTATTATTAGATCGTTCATTTTATTTATAAATAACACAATCGGTGGTCATGTGTTGCAGATTTTGTGTGCAGTTGAGAGTTGTGGATCACACAATCGGTGGTCATGTGTTCCATTCGATGTTGTTCCTGATTGTTGCTTTTTATAACATGTTGACTTTACGAAGTAGGCAATGTACACAATCAGTTGAGTTGTAACAGACAACAGCTTCGTAATATTATTAACGGTAACATTAATTTCTCTGTTTGATAAAGCAAAGGTTGTGTCAATTAAATTCATTTGGTCCTGACAATTACAAGTCTCCTTGCATGAAGAACGGACATTGTTCAAAGAAATTTCCCAAGAAGTTCTGCTCCCGTACTTTTATTGATGATGATGGATTCCCTCATTATAGAAGAAGAAATGATGGAAGTGTTGTAAAAAAGAACGGCGTTAAACTTGATAATCGTTATGTTGTGCCGTATAATACAAAACTACTTCTAAAATATCAAGCGCATATCAAAGTTGAATATACTTGTCAAAATAGTGCCATTAAATATCTCTTTAAATACATCCATAAAGGGCAAGACAGGGTGACAGCTGCTATAAATCATTCAGATGATGAAATCAAAATATTTTATGATTGCAGGTTGTTGAATTCATATCGGTTATGTTTCCTTTCGTTACTTAGAATAACCTTTTTCTAACTTAATTTGAATTTATTGCTTATATATGATAGGTATGTGTCCGCATGTGAAGCTGCTTGGAGAATATTCGGATTTGAGATTCATTACAGATTCCCCCCTGTTCAGCGATTTTCATTTCACCTACCCAATGAAAAAAGCGTTGTTTTTAGTGATCATGCTTCAATAACCGATGTCAAGACTAGGGTGGAGTCTAGACAATCAATGTTCGAGTCTTGGATGGATGCAAATAAAAAATATCCAGAAGGTAAGAATCTTACTTATGCAGAGTATCCAACTCAATTTGTATATAAAGAAAGTACGCATGAATGGCATCCCAAAAAACAAGGATTTTCAATTGGAAGAATAAATCGTTTTTCTGCCAATAATGGAGAAGATTCCTATGTCCGAACTTTACTTAATTTTCAAAAGGGTTGTACAAGTTATGAAGATTTGAGAACGGTCAATGGGGTGCTTTTTCCTACATATAAGGATGTCTGCTATTCTTTGGGGCTTTTGGATGATGATAATGAGTACATTGATGCAATTGAGGAGGCAAGTTCTTGGGGGTCAGCAACTTATCTGAGAAATCTGTTTGCCTTATTGTTATTTGGTAACTCAATGAACAGGCCTGAAAATGTTTTCCAAAAATGCTGGGAATTACTATCTGACGATGTTCTTTATCGGCATAGGCAAAGAATTGGACGTGAAGGTAATTGTCCGGAACAAATTTTGTGCATTCATTTATGTGTATTGTGCACTATAATTAATATTCTTGCCGTTCTGTATCGTGCATTCATTTATGCAAACAGTTTGCTTATGTTTAATTCACTTAACCTTCGAAAAAATGTGAGCATTTTTTGTTCCTTCATAATAAAATTACATCTATACATTATACACCGTCATATTCTTAATATTTGGTTAAAAATTTTCGTTATGTTTCACACCCTCTGCTTTATTCATAATTTCGCTTTATTCTTCTTTCCTCACCAACTTTGTCTTTGTTAATCCTTTTTTTTTTGTATTTTTCAATTTTTTTCAGATGCTTTGCTTACAGAGGATTCTATAAAAAATATACCCTGGCAGAAATCGATAAGGTGTTGCAAAGCAACGGTAAATGCCTCTCTGATTACCCATCCATGCCAAGCATCATGGGTGAATCTTTATTGGATATGCAGAATAGATTGGTGATGGATGAATTATTGTATGACAGTTTCTCTTTGAAAGAAGAGCATCACAGACTACTGAATTCACTCACTGATGAGCAGAGGGTTGTTTATGAAAAAAAAATTCCAGCTGTTTCGGCAGGTAAAGGAGGATTTTTTTTCCTGTACGGCTTTGGTGGGACTGGAAAAACATTTATTTGGAACACCCTGTCAGCATTTGTTCGATCTCGAGCTGAAATAGTGCTTAATGTTGCTTCTAGCGCAATTGCTTCACTTATTCTTCCTGGAGGACGTACGGCACATTCTAGATTTCGTATTCCTATACAGATCACCGAAGATTCAACATGTAATATAAAACAAAATTTTACTTTGGCAGAGTTGTTGTCAAAAACAAAGTTAATCATTTGGGATGAAGCACCGATGGTACACAAATTTTGCTTTGAGGCTCTTGATAGAACACTTAGAGATGTTCTTAGCTGTGTTGATATGCCCTTTGGTGGAAAAGTTGTCGTTCTAGGAGGTGACTTTCGGCAAATATTACCTGTCATTCCAAATGGCAGTAGACAAGATATAGTTCATGCAACCATCAATTCTTCCTATCTATGGTCCCATTGTCATCTGTTATCTTTGACCAAGAACATGCGTCTCAATTCTGGAAGTAGCACTAATAATTTGTTGGAAATAAAATAATTTTCTGAGTGGCTGCTTAAAATAGGAGATGGTGATCTTGGGGATGATGTTGATGGAGAATCTATTATAACAATTCCAGATGAATTGTTGATCAAAGGTTCAGAATACCCACTTTCAGATATTGTTGATTTTGTTTACCCGATCTGATGGATAATATATTAGATCCTACTTTCTTTAAAGAACGTGCTCTTCTGACTCCTAAATTGTCTGATGTTGCCATGTTAAACGAGCACCTAATGGCTGTGATTCCGGGTGAAGAAAGACATTATTGAGTTCAGATAAGGTTTTGAAACAAGACGGTAATTCATCTCTTGATGATGACGAAATCTCCCCTGATATCTTAAATACATTCTCATGTTCGGGGATTCCTGATCATAAATTAACTTTGAAGGTTAAAGTACCGGTGATGCTATTGAGAAATATTGATCAATCAAGAGGTTTATGCAACGGTACGAGATTACTTATTACAAAGTTGGGGAATCATGTTGTTGAGGCAATTGTTCTTACAGGAAACAATATAGGAGATATTGTGTTAATCCCTAGAATGACGATCAGCCCATCGGGTCATACATTTCCAGTAAACTTCCAAAGAAGACAATTTCCCTTGGTAGTTTCGTTTGCAATGACTATCAACAAAAGTCAAGGACAGTCACTGTCTCATGTTGGCATTTATCTTCCTAGGTCTGTCTTCACTCATGGGCAATTATATGCGGCACTATCTAGAGTAAAGAGCAGACATGGATTGAAGATGCTGATACTTGATGAAAATGGTTGTGTTACAAATACTACCTTTAACATCGTCTACAAGGAAGTATTTCAAAGATTAGTGTAGTATACTTGGTTATTTCTACAAAGAGATAACATTGTTGTTTGGTATCAGGTAAGATCTCAATTTTTTATCAGAAAATATTTTTTAATCTTCTTTGTTGATTTCCTTTAGTTGTTATGCCTATTTTTCTGCTAATTTTTTATTGTTATGCAGATTCAGTATTCGAGGCACAATCAGTATATTATTCCCTTGTCATTTTTCAGAGTCAAAGGTTTTTCATTGTAATTCTGAATTATTCATCTGCCTAAACTATATAATTCCTTTCAATAATTTTTTCTTTTCCAAATATTGTTTATATATTGTTTATGATTCATTTCGAATAGCAGCAAATACCAATAGTGCATGGCGGACGATATTTTACAACTGTTGTGAGTATCGGTTGGGCATATTTCTTATTATATTGCTGTCAACATGACATTTATATTTTTTTAATGGAGATTTTGTTGTCAACCATGGAATCTACTGTGTTTAAATTATTATATTCTTTTTTTGTTCCTACCTTAAAAGTTACACGTTTATGTCATACGAACAAACCGATTTTCTTATTAATTCGTTTACGGGACAAACAAACCGATTTTTTTTCTCCGTGCATCGCACGGGTAATCAACTAGTAACATTATATAACAAACATTCCTCTAGAGAAAATAATTACACCACATAGCTCACAGTTAGTGCATGAGAACTGAGCCAGAGTCCACTTGGAGCCCGGGCCAAAAAATCATATGTGGATTTATTTTTCTTAATTTTAGTTAGTTCATATCATAATATATTTAAATTATATTAAATACAAAACACCTGAGCAGGCAATATCAAAAAGAGTTATAATTTTATTAAATAATTTTTAATTTAATTAAATATATTTAAATTTTTTTATATAAGTGAAAATGGAACACATAACTTAATAAAACTTACCCAAATGTCTCACCAAATATATTTTATTTTTTTGATAGGGCCAAATTATAAATTTTAGCCCGCGCCAAATTACAATTTTAAACCGGGCCAAGTTATAATTAATTATATAATTATACATGATAAATACAATTTGTTAAAATTTAGCCCGGGCCGAGGCCACCCCCAGCCAACACGTGGCTCCGCCACTGTTTGGGAGAGGTTTATAATATTTATCCTGATCTGTCCCACACTCTGGATTAGTCTCATAACCGGTCTAAAAAACTGAAGTTTATAGAAATATTAAAGGGAGCCTACTCGACTCAAAGAGGTCATTATGGTATGTTTAAAAAAAAGAAAAAAAAGAATTACATCACATACTCAAGGTCATAAATATTCCCTTCATAGAAGAAAGCTCTATTATCCTCGTTCACGATACAAGGGACTCCCCTCTTCATCATATGACTTGAACCCCTACCCCATTCTATTTCTCTATTCCCAATTGGTAGCTAAGAAGGCTGCATTTCACATCGTGCTCGGCTAAATATCTTCCTTCCTTAATTGCGGTGTGCATGTATGATCCAGCCAAGGGTTACTCCTTAAATCTTCAAGCCCCCACCTAGGCCCTAGCTGAAGCCATTTTGGAGTTGTTAATCCTAAAAAAAGGGTTTGAGTTGCTAAATTGTTATTAGATGGAAGGACTCTAAATGTTTTTTAATTGGTGTTGCTGTACAGTTGCTTGGAATTGTGGATTTTGAAAGTGTTTCGGTTAGAAACTTGAATGTTGGTGGTTGTTGTTTTTGGAGATGCAATCATGATATTAGAATTGTAAATATTAAATTATGAGTAAAAGGTTCTATCTCAAGCTATAGACTCAGATAGGTTCGTGATAAGTATGAATTGGTGTATCGCTAAATAAATGAATGATAAATTATTATGGTTGTGCATAGGATGACTGTTATGTTTACGTTTGGGAAATTATGAGCCTTCTTCATGATTAAGGTTATAATATTCATATCTATTTTGTAGTTTATGTGGTTGGACAATGATTAAATATGTAATGGAATGATTTTATCACCTTAAGGAGAATTGCAGAACATTAAAACGACTAATTTATTTGACTCGACATGACTATCGTAGGAGTACTTTATGTTCTAAATGCTGAAATTAAACTGTTAGTTTTGATTTTACATTTATGGATTGTTTGTTGCTACGTATGTGCATTTTTTTGTTGTATATTCGCTATTTACCCGAGTAAGCCCTCTTGGTTACTCAGTAAATAGCCCTAGTAAGTTGCACAACAACATTATTAAGGTTATCCCACTCTATATATATATATTCTTAGTCAATCTAGATGCTACTGAATTAGACTAGAGTAAGTTTAATGAAAGAATTGAGTTCCAAGATGGTAATTGCAATTCCAACTTAATCAATAAAAGTGGAATTATGTCATGGGTGCTTTACTTCATCAACGGTAGTAAGGGAATATGTAATGATGTGTAATTAAATCCTAAAATTTAATTGTTCCTTAATGATTAAACTGAGAGTTTCTTGTCACTACCGAAACATGTAAACCGTGGGATTTGGTTGTGAATGTTGTATCATCTCCCTTAAGAAATTTCCTTTCGAGTGTTTGACTGAATCTCGTTTAATATTTTTCAATGTTTGAGATAACTTACATATAAATGTCTAGTTTATTCATTCATGGCTCGGTTACGGTAATATATATTTACTAAATGTATGTATAAATTCAACGAGACAGGTTATATTTTATCATCATTTTTCTTACCATTCTCTACCATCAAATTTTAAATGTTGATTTATGTCAATCTAACGGTTATAATTTATTGGATCATACTTATTAATTAATTATTAATTCTCAATGGACGATGATAATTTTATGCTGGCTAGTGGTGTTGTTTCATGGAAAAGTGCAAAACAAACCTTGATCACAAGTTCTACGATGTATGCTGAATTTGTGGCTTGTTATGGTGCTTCCACTCAGACAGTTTGCCTTAAAAATTTAATTTCTGACATGCGAATTGTAAACTCTATTGCCATACCTGCGGTGATCTATTGTGATAACATTGCGGCTGTGTTTTACTCCAAGAATGACAAAGTCAATAATGCTTCGAAACACATGGAGATCAAATACTACATAGTGAAGGATTTGGTTAAACAAAGGGGTGTTGTGATTGAAAATATTAGAACTAAATCCATGTTGGTAGATCCCTTGACTAAAGGATTACGACCCGTACTATTTAAAGAACATGGGTGTTGTGGATTCCCTTGATTAGTGGGAGCCATGTCTTGTTTTGTTTTGATTTGATTTTCACTTTGATTATTCTGCATGCTGATGTTAATGATATTTATTGAAAGTTTATGTTGATGATCATCATCATTATTATTGTTTTCTTCTGTTGACTGAGAATCAATGTGATCTTTAAACATATCGTGTGTTTAAAGATGAAGTTGTCACTTTTGAGATATTATGACATATTGGTTTATCTAACCTGAGCAATTTCATGTCGTTTGGAAATTGCGTTAATTCAATTTCATGTTGTTAAGAAATTGGATTGAAAAGGCAATTTCATGTTGTTTAGAAATTGCGGTAATGCAATTTCATGTTGTTGAGAAATTGCATTATGAAGTGTAATTTTATGTTGAATGGAAATTGCACTAATGTAATTTCATGTCGTTGAGAAATTACATTAAGGACCGATAAGAATTAGTGCATTATATTGTTGATCACATTTTGGCTATAATTATTACTACACTGCTAGGCCCATAATTCATGAAGACGTGATGCTTATTGTATGTAAATATGGAAGGTTATATGTTATGTTATTTTCGACATAGTAATCGTCATATTCCTACAATAAGGTAATATTAGATTGGATTGGATTGAGATGCTGGAATTGGAATATTGTTTTTAAAATCGTGGCCACATAAAATGTTTTTTCCTTGTTATTAATCCAATAAAGTCATTTTCAAATAAAAGTATTTTAAAATAAAATAAATAAATTAATATAACCCAAGTGGGAGAATGTTAAAATTCTATATGTGGGCAATATTAATTAATATTTTTGTATTTTCCAAAATAATCGGATTAATGGATATTTCAATTTATTCTGTTGTGATAAGCTCATTGTGATCATGTTGAGTTGGACTTTTGGCATCTTTTGATATTGGGCCTAGTTGGACAGCACAATGTAGGCATTAGTGTTTGATTGAGCTTCTGTGATGGGTAGACACATCAGACACATTGTTGATTAGGGTTTTACTAGGTCCCCTCTCCAGCCTATTTATATTGGGGTTAAGCTTCATGAGCCATCATATTCTCATCGCAGAAGGCTGCCATTTTAGAATAGGTCATAGAGAGGAAGCTTCTAGCCGTGAGATCAAAGGTTCTTCACTCAGTAGATAAGATAACTCAATCAGGTACACAAATTACTCTCATAATGAAATTGATATGTAATGTTTTATCTATCATACATGTATCGATCTTTATGTTGAATTATCATATGAAAATTTCTTACACATCAAACATAGTCGCACACTCACACTACAAAACACTATGGATATCATGACTAGAGTGATGAAAATATTGAACATGCTAATAAGTATTATTTAATTTTTAAACTCAAATTATTTATCATGAATAATTAGTAATTGAGCCCTTCTGAGTGTACTCTGACAATATTAAAAAAGGAATAATATTCCTGCTAAGTTATTTACATAAATGTTATTATTATTATTGTTATTTACATTTTTTTCACAATAATTTTTAAATTCTGATCCGTTCTATTTATGGACATTGTAAGTGATTGTAGATTTGATGATTAATTTGTTGTTAGAGAAAAAAAGTAGTTCACATGTAACATTAATTAACGAATTGGTTATAGAAACGATTTGTAATCTAAAATTTCTGGATAATGCCTTTATTGGTAAAACTAAAATGCAGAAGCGGAGACCTTACTGCCAGTTTTTGCCAACATTGGAAAAGCATTAATATTTATTGGTGTAGATAAATTTTATCTTATATTTTATCTCATATATATATATATATACATATATATATATATATATATATTACACTTACAATTTATTTTTATTTATAATATTTGACAATTATATTTTAACTGTTGATATCCGTCAATAAACGATTATTATTTTCACAAATTAAATTCATTAATTAATTATTAATTCATAATAAATAATAATTGTTGATTAGCGAAAACTATCGATTAAGATATGATTGTAAGAAGTTGTAAAAAAAATAAATTATAAGTATAACATTTTTTATATATATAAAAGTATGTGAGGCTGTTTACTAA